GAGTAGATGTCCTCAATTCCGCGTCATATGTTTCGGGGACGGACCCATGACATTGCAGCCCCTGCTTTCTGAAACTACCCCTGCAGAGGGCTTTCGAGCACAAACACAGGAGCCGCAATCATCATGTTGGTTTTTTCCATTCGCAAAAAACTTTAATGGCTACCCCCTAGTGCCGGACCCCAAGAGTTGCGGATTGCCAGAACTTGAGCCGCGGAAGCCACCCTAACCAAACCCGAAGACCCAAAACTCGTAAGCTCTTCAACTTGTGGGCGGTGAGGGTGGTGCAGCGGTGGGAGCGGTAGGAAAGGGCGGTGGTCAGGGATGGTGGATGGAATAGGACGTGCCCTACCCTATCCACCCACCCCCTACGTACCCCCGACCCGAACCCCCCCCCCTAACCACAGAGGCGGTGAAAAGCAGGGTGTGTAGGGGGGTGGGGCGGGCGGCGGGTGTGGCTGTAGGCTGGTGGGAGCGAAAACAACAAAGGCTTAGCCAACGCTCACCCGTGGGGTCGACAAACCACCGCACGATTCCGGTGCTTTCTTGACACCTGATCGTGTTCTTAAACCATGCAAAGGTTTCTTGCATTTCATTCTTTGATGGTTCCTAAATCCTACCCTGCGGCCCAAATGAACTCGAAAATTGGCGTCATCTACTCTGTACTACTATAAATCTCTTTTTTGGGTATATGAACCCCAAACCCTGAACCCGAAAAAACCCTGCACCCTTTTAGGGTCCATTTGGTCCCCCAAGAAGAGCCACCTAAACCCTAAACCCTAAACCCTAAACCACCCTAAACCCTAAACCCTTTGAGTCAGGTACTGGAGCCCTCCATCCGTGGCTTCCTGTTCGGGCCCCCGGGAGTTTTTTGGCCGGGCGGAGCTGGTGAACCTACACCACTGGACCACTAACCCTATACCCTAAACCCTAAACCCCAACCCCAAACCCCAAACCCTATAAACCCCAAACCCTGAACACCAAACCCTAAGCGAATTTGCCAGGCTTCAGACCGCCCCCACAAAATGCAGGGTGCGACGGTAGGACCCTTGAACAAATAACTCGCTTCGGAAGAGTAGCAACACGAGTCGTCTTGCCGCTGAGGGTCGTAAAACCCTGCCACAGATCAAAAGCGCAACTCGACCCAAGCCATCACTTGGGAGGGGGGGGGGGAGGGAGAGGGAAGTCGGCTGTCAAGGTCAATCCTGGAGAAGCAGTTTGCGCGTCCCACACTTGGCTTCACGCAGTCGGAGTTTGTCCACCCCAGATATTCAAAAGTAGCCATTAAAAGCTCCAAGCACCGTCTTACTTGTCTTGATAGCCCAGTGGTATCCTTTTGCTTCTACAGCAGCCAACCTCAAAAAGGGTACCCTTGTTAATTATACGGTTGCTGGACTGCCCAGTTGTAAACCTAAACCCTAAACCTAAACCCTAAGCCCTAAACCCTAAACCCTAAACGCCCTTCACTGAGGCTCGGACTTGTACTTGTTTGAGGTGTTGCAAAATGCCGCCGACGCCTTGGCAACCGAAGAATTTTCAGGATTTCTTGTGCTGATGCCTGTTGGCATCGGTGCTGACTTGAGTTTCGACATCCCTACAAGGAGGGGCTCCCTTACGATACTAACTGTAGTTAAGGGGCTTAGAACCTCATTTAGGCTCCTAACACTAAACCCTAAACCCTAAACCCTAAACCCTAAACCCTAAATCCTATATCTAATGTAGGGTCCTTCTAACTCTACTTATAACCACGGGGGGCCCCTCCTTGTAGGTTTATAGTGTTTAGGGTTTAGGGCTCTTTGCATCCCAGGCCGAGCCTCAGCAGTCCTGGGGTTAAAAAAGGGGGTTTAGGGTTTAGGGTTTAGGGTTTAGGGTTTAGGGTTTAGGGTTTAGGGTTTAGGGTCAGGGTTTAGGGTTTAGGGTTTAGGGTTAGGGTTTCAGTTTTTTTTTTTCTCCCTTTTGCTGCACAGTACGGCAGGAAGCCCTGGGTCCAAAAGGGGGTTCTTGATCAGAAGAGCCGCAGCAGTTGGGCGCATCTGGCCCCTCGGAGCTCTCGAACCACTGAGTTGCCCTAAACCCTAAACCCTAAACCCTAAACCCTAAACCCTAAACCCTAAACCCTAAACCCTAAAACCCTAAACCCTAAACCCTAAACCCTGTTCAGTCGCCATCTGGGAGGGCTGTTTCTTGGGCAGTACAGGACGCCTAGGACCCAGAGTAGGCCCTTGTTCCCTTCGTTTAGCAATGTGGCAACTTCAAAGGGCACCTTTGAATCCCTAGGTTCCTCTTGGGTCTAGTACCTGAAGCCCACATTGCTCAAGCGGCTCTTGATCTTCATCGACCTAGCCTGAGGTAGACGACGGCGCGCTACACGTGTGCCAAGCTCAGTACCTCAGTGGGCTCTGTTCCGGCTCTTTTCCAAGCAGAAAACGATGGCTTGCTGCTCAGATATACAGCTCATGAGCACATGAGCGCGTGCAAAGAAACCCTAGGCCCTCAACCCTAAACCCTAAACCCCAAACCCTAAACCCTAAACCCTAAAGCTGAAAGGCAGCTCAAGCAGCCAAAAAAAACCCAGGCCTTCGTATCAGCTGAGCATAGCGGAGCCCCATAGAGCCTGCATCCTACGCCCCAAGCCCTGAAGCCCTTTCTTGCACTTTAGGGTTTAGGGTTTAGGGTTTAGGGTCCTGAATCAGTCCTGAAACAGATCAGAAGGGGCAACAATTCCGTAGAATGCGGCCCGCAAGGGGCTCAGGAGAACCCCATCGATTGCCTGTTATGCCTTGGAATCGTAGACAACCGTAGGAGCAAACGCCAGCGAGTTCCTGCAAGATTGGGATCCTATATATCCGATGCCGCCGGAACACCTAAACTTAAACCCCAAACCCCCCTAATATTCCACGAACGTAGACATAGCAAAACCAATGTACCCTGAACTCTACAAAACCTAAGCCTTAAACAATGCTTCGTGTAGTCTATAAAGGTCACCCTACACCTTCAACACCCTAAACCCTAAAGAACCCTAATAAACTTTCAAACCCTACGCCCTAAGTCCTAAACCCTAAGCCCTAAACCCTAAACCCTAAACGTTCAAACCCTAAACCCTAAAACCCTAAACCCTAAACGCACCCCCCCCCCCCCCTCCCCCCTCCCCCGATCTCGGGCGGACTTGCCTTCAAGGTGTTTTGAGCCGACCGGGCAGGGCTTGACTGTCAAGCACGACGGCCGGCTGCGGGCTTGGTTGGTAGGGTTCAGGGTTTAGGGTTTAGGCTTTTTGGTGTAGGGTTTCGGGTTTAGGGTTTAGGGTTTAGGGTTTAGGGTTTAGAGCGTTTGTGTAATTAGGGTTTCGGGCTTAGGGTGTAGGGTATAGAGTTTAGGGTTTTTTGGAACTATCGCGCGGCCCAGTAAGAAGCAGTAAGCTTAGGGCTGTCGAGTGTTAGGGCCGCAGGTTTTGAGGTCAGGGCTTTCTGAGGTCAGGGCTTTGGGCGATGCAGCCTTGAGGGATTTTAGGGTTTTAGCGTTTAGGGTTTAGGGTTTAGGGTTTAGGGTTTAGGGTTTAGGGTTTAGGGGCCTTTAAAGAGACCCAGTTCTAAGCTATGAATGAAGGGGAGGGCTGAAGGTTTTTGGGGCTTGTTGGCCAAGCCTTTGAGGTCGATTTAGAGTTTAGGGCGTTGAGGTTGCAGGGAACAAAAGGGTTCAGGCTTTAGGGGTCTGGGTTTAGGGTTTTGGGGTTTGGGGTTTGGGGTTTAGGGTTTAGGGTTTAGGGTACAAACTGCACCAAGGCGCTTCACTGCTCTGGACGTGTTGGGCCTGTCCTCGGTGGGGCTATCGACAAAGGCCGCGCCCTAAACCCTAAACCCTAAACCCTAAACCCTAAACCCTAAACCCTAAACCCTAAACCCTAAACCCTAAACCCTAAACCCTAAACCCTAAACCCTAAACCCTAAAAACCCTAAACCCTAAACCCAACGAGTGGTCCCGGTATAGAACCTAAATGCAGAAAGCCGAAGTCTCGGCTTTCAGCTGATCGGTTGAAGCTCTGCCAGATTTTGTGGAGCCATTGCTATTTTCTGGGACTCTTTGACCTACATTTTATATAGGTTTACCTACTAATGAGGGGATAGTTCCTATTAAGCTGTAGACATGGAGTCCCAGGTGGTTTTTGGGTGATATGGGGGTTTGCGAAAATACGGGACCCCGAATCAAAATGGTAGGATTCCCTTCCGAGAAGGACCCCCAAGAAGGTACCCCCAAACCGTAAGCCCTAAACCCTAAAAACTAGACCCTACGTTCAGAGTGCATCGTGTGGAGGGCGATGGCCAGAAGAGAACCATCGGCCGGGAACTCAGCCATCAAGGTTTCTGCGGCGTTGATCTACCATTTGCCTAAGAAACCCCCAAAAAATGTTGGCAGTAAATGGCAATGATGAATACGAATCATCCCCTCATTGCGCTTTGTTGTTTTTTGGGTTCTTAAGCAAACAGTAGTGATGAAGTTGGACCCGCACCCGGTGGGTCACAAAGTTGCCCTTGAGTTGGTGAAAGGGCGCGCGGCTGTTCGCCATGCAGCCAGGTTTTATGGGAATTGGCTTCAAGGCCGTCTACAAGCGGTATGCACGTGTCGTGGTACATGATCGGTGGGGACCTCAGTGCCTGAATCTCCCGATTGTATTCCATGCGTCAGGACTACCACAACGGGAAATGCATGTTCAGAATCTCGCTTAGAAGCGTGCAGGCGTGGAGAAATGTAAGTTGTGCAGGTGATGCTTGGGAATCTGGGCCCAACTGGGAAGCGCTAGTTCTGGCCATCAAGTGATTTACTATAATCGCACGCGTGATAGCAGAGCAGAGTTCTTTTTGTGTCGGAGCTTTGCTTTTCGGAAGTCCTGCTTCGGGATGTGCTTCCTCACTTGGCATGTCTTGCACATGCTTGCGCATGCATGAATCACCCTGGGTCATCGCGGCTCCAGTGCCAGAGTCAGGAATCGTTATGCTTAGTTGAGAGCCATGCCCGCCCGCAGAGGAGGCAGCAGACGCGACAGCCGCAGTAGGCGGAGCCCCAGCTACAAGCGCAGAAGCCCCAGCTACAGGCGGGAGGACCGGCGAGGAGGCCGAAGCGGGGCGCGCCGGGGAAGCCGAAGCCGAAGCGGAGGTCGTGGGGGCAGCAGGTATAGCCCTCCGCCTCGCCGCACCCCACCTCCCCGGGGCCGCACTCGCAGCCGCAGCCGACGTGAGCGGGAGGAGCAGAGGCGCCGAGAGGCCGAGAAGAAGAAGATGGAGAAGCGTATCCCGCCCCCCGCCGTCCGAGGCCCAGATAAGCCGCAAATCACGGAGGAGCACAAGGCTAACTCGGTGGAGTCCCAGCAGCAGAGTATAGGTAACCTTTAACCCTTTTTGAGTATATAATCCCCTTAGAATCCCAAACGTTATAACCTTTAATTCCCCCAGGTTACTGGACAACTAAGGAGTTCAACGGCCGCTACTACGCAACTATCGACTTCACGCCCCCCAACTCCGGTGGAGACTCCGCGGGTCAGAAGACACGCATTCAGATTCTTGGCTGCATTCGGGTAGAGCTCCATGACCACCTTCTTTGATGTTGTCCCACTTGCGCCGTAGACCCCTGCAAGCCTGAAAGTCGTGCTCAGACGACCTGGGGGCTCTCTTTACCCACAGTTTTTATGGGTTCTACCTGCGAGTTAAGGGGGTCCAGTTATACCTACTCAACTGTAGGTACCAGGATGGGCCAATTCCACCTTATACCCACAGTCAACCCTCTAAGGGGCCTTTTTAGGGGGTTATAGGGTACAATAGCCCCTCCTGGTAGAGAGAGAGTCCCAGGGTTTAGGGTTAAGGGTTTAGGGTTTAGGGTTTAGGGTTGGGGGACTGCCAAGGATGCCCTACGGCTGGGAGGTTGCCGACATCACCGACGACGTCCGGGACGCGGTTGTGAAGCTTTACACCTTCGGCACAGACATGGTGACCGGGATGTATCGGCAGCTTTTTCAGCTTTAGGGTTTAGGGTTGTGTTTTTGTCAAGTGCCGGGTCCCTACGCTAGCCCCAACCCTCATCCAGCTCTTGTCGCGCCGATGGCCTCAACCGTCTCTGCAATAACCACCTCGGACTCTATTTACCTATACAGTTTACTAGACAGCTTACTAGTAGCTAATTACCCCTTAAAGAATGGGTAGAACCCATGAATGCAGCTGTAAGTAAAGAGAGTTCAGGTAAGAACGACTGAGACTCATCACAGAGTTGGGCACCCCAACCTCGGAAAGCAGCTGGGAGTTTACCATAGTAAGGAACCCCTAACATAGACCCTCAAAATAGTCCCTAAACCCTAAACCCTAAACCCTAAACCCTAAACCCTAAACCCCAGGTGGTGGGAGAGGGCGGCAAGGCCTTCCACACAGCGCCACGGCTGCCTCTGGGAGGTTTTAAAGTTGGGTTGGGAAGCCGTGGCTTTGTGGGTTGCCATGGAACCAGGGTTTGGTTTAGGGTGTAGGGTTTAGGGTTTAGGGTTTAGGGTTTAGGGTTTAGGGTTTAGGGTTTAGGGTTTAGGGTTTAGGGTTTAGGGTTTAGGGTTTAGGGTTTAGGGTGTGATGAGGGAGAGAAGGTTGAAGTCATTGAGCTCTTATCCTCGGGGTCTTCGCAAGATGTTGTGTGGGCTTCCCATGTTCGCCTTGGAGTGGACTGCGAGTTTAGGTGTAGAGTGCTCATCATACCAGCAACCCAAAAGCTGCTCGTCTTGGACGACATTTCTGTTTATTAGCCATAGCAGAGAAGCTCACCCACCTATGCTTGGATCGGATGAAGCCTGTCGTGCTTGATGCAAAGTTAGAAGCCCTCAAAACAAGCCCTTTAAACCCCTAAACCCTAAACCCTAGTTAACTCAGAAGCCCTAACCCCGCACGACTAAACCCGACGCAGGCCAAGGGAGCACGCCCGGGCGCACTCGAGATGATTTGGGACTATAAGACACTTGGGCCAATGAGAAGTTTAGGGTTTAGGGTTTCCCTAGGGTTTAGGGTTTCCCTAAACCCTAAACCCACCAAATTTATGAGGTTTGTAGGGTTTGGGGTTTGGGGGTTCTGAGCTCGGTGTCCGTTGGATCTTTGATGTCGTTGAGGGGCGTCGCTACGCTGCGCTTCTAGCTGGATGACTGAAGGGACCCATAATCTTATCCCCATATATAACCCCTAGATACATTTTATAGTCCCTATATACCTAAGTAGCTCCCCAACAACCCCTAAATAACCCCTAAGGTCCCTTATCAAGGTCCCTCCTTTATCCTCGTCTTTAGATATGTGAACCCTAAACCCTGAACCCAAAAAACCCTAAACCTTTTTAGGGTCCATTTCCCTATATACCAAACTTTAAGTAGGCCCTAAACAACCCCAAGGGCCTTTCGTCTCTTGGGAGGAGCTGCTGTCTTGCATGTCTCGTTGCTTCTCTTTTGCTTCAAGGGCCTGACCCTCAGCAGTCGTGGGTAAAAAAAGCCCAAACCCCACACCCCAAGCCCCAAACCCCAAACCCCAAACCCTAAACCCTAAACCCCAAACCCTAAACCCCAAACCCTAAACCCCAAACCCCAAACCCTAAACCCCAAACCCCAAAACCTAAACCCTAAACCCCAAACCCCAAACCCCAAACCCCAAACCCTAAACCCCAAGCCCCAAACCCCAAACCCTAAACCCTAAACCCCAAACCCTAAACCCCAAACCCTAAACCTCGTTGGTGTTCCGGAGCTTCTGGAGGGCTTCGCCTCCGGTTTGGGGGCCTAAAGCTCAGCTCAGCAGAGCCCGGACCCAAGGAAGGACATGGGCATGTACAACTTGCACCAGGCCGCGGAGTTTAGGGTTTAGGGTTTAGGGTTTAGGGTTTAGGGTTTGGGGTTTGGGGTTTGGGGTTTAGGGTTTGGGGTTTGGTTCAAAAGGGTTTAGGGTTTGGGGCAGTGTTCTTGGGCCTACACGCGCCAGAGCGCCCTAAGCCCACATCCCAGTTCGGCGTGCTGGAACTTGTTGAAGAAAGTTGCTTCCACTTTGCTGCAAGGTCTCGGTGAACGTCGGGGCTTCAGGTTTCCAGTCTTTGACGGGCTTTTATGCTTGAGGGGTAGGAGGGACCCTTAGAAGGGATCCTTTACCCTAGTCCCCTTCATCATCTGTAAGGTCCCTTCTAAGGGTCCATCCTTGAGTCCTCCTGGTGATTGCGGAATGCCTTGTTGCGTGGGCTGGGCCCGTGGCATGGGCCTTTTTGGAGTGCGCAAGGATGGCAGCCTCTCCAACAAGAACGGGCGGATTCTGATCAGCATAGCAATCCCCAAGCTATGATGCCCCAGCCCATCTAGATTCGATCGAAAAGACATGGCAGAGTCGGAGGCTGCGTCTCTTCATAAGAATTACCGTGTGGCCTTCCCATGCCTCGAAACCGCCATTGCAGCAGATCCTATAGTCATAGGTAGGGGTGCTGTTTTTGACACTGGCTGCGCCGACCGACTGCCAGAAGACGAACGCACCAAAACTGGAGAAGCAGAGGCCCACGGGAGTTAACAAATAGCAACACCGGACCATAGACCTCCAGGTACAAGAGCAAAACGACAACAAGTATGTGGTGGTGTATGCGTCCTAAGGCTTAGGTCCTAAGGGTTGGAGTTGAGGGTTTAGGGTTTTATGGTTGCCGTATAAGTCTTCGGTCATGCAGATAGCCCATCTTGGTGCGTATCCGCATTTCTCAGAATGCAAGCCATGTCTAACGGATGTTGGCACTGCCACACGGATGCCACGCGGTGTATGATGGGCCTCTGCCGGGTAGAAAGCATATTGGCAGGATGGTGCCTTGAAATGCTCAGTAAAGACTGTACCCACCGTAAAGCTCGCCGGAAAGAAAAAAAAAGCCTGGGACTCTCTTTACCTACAGTTTTCTGGGTACGAGTTCAGCGGTAATTAGTTACCACTAAACCAGTTTATACTACCTAAGGGGTAGTTGCTACTGTTCCAATACTGTAGGTAAATAGAGTCCCAGGAAGAAGCTAAACCCTAAACCCTAAACCCTAAACCCTAAACCCTAAACCCTAAACCCTAAACCCTGTTTTGGCCTCCGTACTTTGTGCCATGTGAAGCCTGCACGCTGCGTGTTGACGCTGGGGCACTCCAGGCGACGGTTCCCAACTTTTCTCTACTCTTTGCCTCATGACCCCCAAAGAATAAAGATACTCTTCCCTGAGGATAGTATAGAAGAGTAACCCCCAAAGAATAAGCATATTCTTGCCTATAAGGAGAATATATAAAACCCTAAACCCTAAACCCAAAGGGATTATTTGTTAGGCCTCCATGCTCGAAACCCGCGTCGACCAGAAGCAAGCAATCGGCTCCCAAAACTTGCAAACAAATCCCACACGCAAACACAATCACATAATAAAGTGAGACCATATGATTGTTTATATATATTATATATGTATATATGTATGTTAGAATGTCATAGTATTAAGTGCATGTAGCGCATCATCATGTGTCACGGCGGGCTTAGAGCATCGAAGTAGCCCGCCGCCTTGCAGAGCTTGCTGATACCCTGTGCCTCCCGCCATTGCCTGGCCATCGTCTCGCTCCATACCCTCGCCGTCGTCAGACAGAACTAAAGGCCACGTTTGAGTCTAGGGTTTAGGGTGTATCTACTGGAAGTCCGTAGATAGCGCGGCCGGGTAGTTTGACGGTTGCCTGCCTTGGCGTATACATGGTGCTTAGGCTGAACACGGCGTAGATTGACTTCAGCCAAAAACAGAGGTGGTGCAGGGATTGAGGTTTACCTAAAGCAGCCGATATACCCTTCAACTTTGAATAGGTAGGGGTAGTTCATGCACGTTTGTCATGACACATGTCCCTTCTTGAAATGCCATCTATACCAGGACGGGCTATGATACCCTATAACCCAATAAAAATGGCCCTTTATAGGGTTGATTATGGGGATTGTAAGGCCTAATCGCCCATCCTGGTAGGTCTGGGTTTGGTTGAGACCCTAAACCTAAAACCCTAAACCCTGAACCCTGAACCCTAAACCCTAAACCCTTGGGTTTGCCAGGCAGCAGCTAGGTACGCACTTGCGATCATCCATCTGTGTCTTCCTGTTGGGGTTTAAAGTTGAGAGGCCTTAGATCCCTAAACCCTAAACCCTAAACCCTAAGCCCTAAACCCTAAACCCCTGGTCGTCGAATAGCCCCCCGATAAGGAGCGTGCCTGAAACCGCCGGGTGTGCGATCTTGCTTTTGGGCTAAGAGCATCTTGCCCTTTGGCTGGGCAGGCACCCTCCCATTCTGAGTAAGTCGGACAGTTGGGCTCTGAAGTTACCTGTACACAGCATTCCCTCTGCAGTTGCCCCGTGGAGCATGGCTAGACAGGTGGCAAAAAAACCCTAAACCCTGAACCCTAAGATAAGCAGATTAAGTCGGAGTGGTTTCGGGCTTAGGTTTTTTTCGAGCAAGAGTCACATCATGGATTCTCCGGTCGATGCCAGGTACCTATCCTTCGCAGAGCAGGTGGATAGGCAAGCTGACGGACGTCAGATGCACTTATGGAGCCACCGGGGAAAGAGGGAGTTGTCAGGGCCAACTCAATCTGGAACTTTCTGTTTTGCGGCTGAACTGTACCCCTCACCCGAAACCCTCGTGGCCCTGGAGAGTTCAGCTTCTCTCAAGTGCACCAAGTCCTAAGCAGCCTTACGTCATTTCCCTAAGCCTTGCGATTGGTCAGGCTCCATGTCCGTGATCTCCGGATGGTCCTTCCTTGAAGAATCCGGCTTCTTGACGCCGCAACAGGACGACCTTGCCGATTAGGGTTGAGGGTTTGGGGTTTAGTGTTTAGTACCTGACTCATGGGTTCGCAAGGCTGTCAGTCGCAGCCACGAGTGCCAGGGTCTGAGAGTGTTGCTAAGACTTTCCGGCCAGGACGTCATGGCCCGGATGCAAAAAAGGGTTTAGGGGTTTGGGGGTGATGTCCTTGAAGCCAGGAGGAGCCAAGGACACTTGCCAGTTTTAACTTCTTCGGAGGTCCATGGCACTTACTAACCAAATAGCAACGTGCACTTCTAACCCAATCCCCCGCCCTTTTGAGGGTCAAGCTTAGGCTTCCTTGCAGTCATCTACTTGGAGGTTCAGGTTACTCATTTAAATCTAACTGTATTTATAACCCACTTATAAGCCCCTTAAGTGCCCTAACATGGTTATAATTGGGTTATATGTTCAGATATGTTTGGTTAGTAAGTACCATGAACATCCAAGTACAGGCATCTAGGAAGCCTCGCGCCAGCCCTTTTCGGCGCCCAGATTTCTGCTTCCGAGATCTCCTTTGTTCGAGCCGTCAGCTTACTGGTGCTCAAGTGGGGCATCCTTTTACTTGGTAGCCCAGTGGCAGCCTTTTAGCATTTGTTTCGTTCTGCGTGGTGCTTGAGATCTCGCGGGACGCCGGAGACTCACGCGGGTGTCGGGTGCCTCGCCCTACGGCCGTCCATGCTCTC